GCGCCTAGAGTGAACACCGCCACGCGTCTAGAGTGTACACCCGCCACGCGTCCAAGTGAACACCGCCAAACGCCTAGAGTGAACACCGCCAAACGCCTAGAGTGAACACCGCCACGTGTCTAGAGTGAACACCGCCACGCGTCTAGAGTGAACACAGCCACACGCCTAGAATGAACACCGCCAAGCGTCTAGAGTGAACACCGCCACGCGTCCAGAGTGAACACTGCCACGCGTCTAGTGTGAACACCGCCATGCGTCTAGAGTGAACACCGCCAAGCGTCTAGAGTGAACACTGCCACGCGTCTAGAGTGAACACCGCCACACGTCTAGAGTGAACACCGCCACGCGTCTAGAGTGTACACCCGCCACGCGTCCAGAGTGAACACCGCCAAACGCCTAGAGTGAACACCGCCACGCGTCTAGAGTGAACACTGCCACGCGTCCAGAGTGAACACCGCCACGCGACTAGAGTGAACACCACCAAGCGTCTAGCGTGAACACCGCCACGCGCCTAGAGTGAACACCGCCACGCGCCTAGAGTGAACACCGCCACGCGCCTAGAGTGAACACCGCAACGCGCCTAGAGTGAACACCGCCACGCGTCTAGAGTGTACACCCGCCACGCGTCCAGAGTGAACACCGCCAAACGCCTAGAGTGAACACCGCCAAACGCCTAGAGTGAACACCGCCACGTGTCTAGAGTGAACACCGCCACGCGTCTAGAGTGAACACAGCCACGCGACTAGAGTGAACACCGCCAAGCGTCTAGCGTGAACACCGCCACGCGTCTAGAGTGAACACCGCCACGCGTCTAGAGTGAACACCGCCACGCGTCTAGAGTGAACACCGCCACGCGTCTAGATTGAACACCGCCACGCGTCTAGAGTGAACACCGCCACGCGTCTAGAGTGAACACCGCCACGCGCCTAGAGTGAACACCGCCACGCGCCTAGAGTGAACACCGCCACGCGTCTAGAGTGTACACCCGCCACGCGTCCAGAGTGAACACCGCCAAACGCCTAGAGTGAACACCGCCAAACGCCTAGAGTGAACACCGCCACGTGTCTAGAGTGAACACCGCCACGCGTCTAGAATGAACACAGCCACACGCCTAGAATGAACACCGCCAAGCGTCTAGAGTGAACACCGCCACGCGTCCAGAGTGAACACCGCCACGCATCTAGCGTGAACACCGCCATGCGTCTAGAGTGAACACCGCCAAGCGTCTAGAGTGAACACTGCCACGCGTCTAGAGTGAACACCGCCACGCGTCTAGAGTGTACACCCGCCACGCGTCTAGAGTGAACACCGCCACGTGTCTAGAGTGAACACCGCCACGCGTCTAGAGTGAACACAGCCACACGCCTAGAATGAACACCGCCAAGCGTCTAGAGTGAACACCGCCACGCGTCCAGAGTGAACACTGCCACGCGTCTAGTGTGAACACCGCCATGCGTCTAGAGTGAACACCGCCAAGCGTCTAGAGTGAACACTGCCACGCGTCTAGAGTGAACACCGCCACACGTCTAGAGTGAACACCGCCACGGGTCTAGAGTGTACACCCGCCACGCATCCAGAGTGAACACCGCCAAACGCCTAGAGTGAACACCGCCACGCGTCTAGAGTGAACACCGCCACGCGTCCAGAGTGAACACCGCCACGCGACAAGAGTGAACACCACCAAGCGTCTAGCGTGAACACCGCCACGCGCCTAGAGTGAACACCGCCACGCGCCTAGAGTGAACACCGCCACGCGCCTAGAGTGAACACCGCCACGCGTCTAGAGTGTACACCCGCCACGCGTCCAGAGTGAACACCGCCAAACGCCTAGAGTGAACACCGCCAAACGCCTAGAGTGAACACCGCCACGTGTCTAGAGTGAACACCGCCACGCGTCTAGAGTGAACACAGCCACGCGACTAGAGTGAACACCGCCAAGCGTCTAGCGTGAACACCGCCACGCGTCTAGAGTGAACACCGCCACGCGTCTAGAGTGAACACCGCCACGCGTCTAGAGTGAACACCGCCACGCGTCTAGATTGAACACCGCCACGCGTCTAGAGTGAACACCGCCACGCGTCTAGAGTGAACACCGCCACGCGCCTAGAGTGAACACCGCCACGCGCCTAGAGTGAACACCGCCACGCGTCTAGAGTGTACACCCGCCACGCGTCCAGAGTGAACACCGCCAAACGCCTAGAGTGAACACCGCCAAACGCCTAGAGTGAACACCGCCACGTGTCTAGAGTGAACACCGCCACGCGTCTAGAATGAACACAGCCACACGCCTAGAATGAACACCGCCAAGCGTCTAGAGTGAACACCGCCACGCGTCCAGAGTGAACACCGCCACGCATCTAGCGTGAACACCGCCATGCGTCTAGAGTGAACACCGCCAAGCGTCTAGAGTGAACACTGCCACGCGTCTAGAGTGAACACCGCCACGCGTCTAGAGTGTACACCCGCCACGCGTCTAGATTGAACACCGCCAAACGCCTAGAGTGAACACCGCCAAACGCCTAGAGTGAACACTGCCACGTGTCTAGAGTGGACACCGCCACGCGTCTAGAGTGAACACAGCCACACGCCTAGAATGAACACCGCCACGCTCCTAGAGTGAACACAGCCACGCGTCTAGAGTGAACACCGCCAAGCGTCTAGAGTGAACACCGCCACGCGTCTAGAGTGAACACCGCCACGCGTCTAGAGTGAACACCGCCACGCGTCCAGAGTGAACACCGCCACGCGACTAGAGTGAACACCGCCAAGCGTCTAGCGTGAACACTGCCATGCGTCTAGAGTGAACACCGCCACGCGTCTAGAGTGAACACCGCCAAGCGTCTAGAGTGAACACCGCCACGCGTCCAGAGTGAACACCGCCACGCGACTAGAGTGAACACCGCCAAGCGTCTAGCGTGAACACTGCCACGCGTCTAGAGTGAACACCGCCACGCGTCTAGAGTGAACACCGCCAAGCGTCTAGAGTGAACACCGCCACGCGTCTAGAGTGTACACCCGCCACGCGTCCAGAGTGACCGCCGCCAAACGCCTAGAGTGAACACCGCCACGCGCCTAGAGTGAACACCGCCACGCGCCTAGAGTGAACACCGCCACGCGCCTAGAGTAAACACCGCCACGCGTCTAGAGTGTACACCCGCCACGCGTCCAGAGTGAACACCGCCAAACGCCTAGAGTGAACACCGCCAAACGCCTAGAGTGAACACCGCCACGCGTCTAGAGTGAACACCGCCACGCGTCCAGAGTGAACACCGCCACGCGACTAGAGTGAACACCGCCAAGCGTCTAGCGTGAACACCGCCACGCGTCTAGAGTGAACACCGCCACGCGTCTAGAGTGAACACCGCCACGCGCCTAGAGTGAACACCGCCACGCGCCTAGAGTGAACACCGCCACGCGTCTAGAGTGTACACCCGCCACGCGTCCAGAGTGAACACCGCCAAACGCCTAGAGTGAACACCGCCAAACGCCTAGAGTGAACACCGCCACGTGTCTAGAGTGAACACCGCCACGCGTCTAGAGTGAACACAGCCACACGCCTAGAATGAACACCGCCAAGCGTCTAGAGTGAACACCGCCACGCGTCCAGAGTGAACACTGCCACGCGTCTAGTGTGAACACCGCCATGCGTCTAGAGTGAACACTGCCAAGCGTCTAGAGTGAACACTGCCACGCGTCTAGAGTGAACACCGCCACACGTCTAGAGTGAACACCGCCACGCGTCTAGAGTGTACACCCGCCACGCGTCCAGAGTGAACACCGCCAAACGCCTAGAGTGAACACCGCCACGCGTCTAGAGTGAACACCGCCACGCGTCCAGAGTGAACACCGCCACGCGACTAGAGTGAACACCGCCAAGCGTCTAGCGTGAACACCGCCACGCGTCTAGAGTGAACACCGCCACGCGTCTAGAGTGAACACCGCCACGCGCCTAGAGTGAACACCGCCACGCGCCTAGAGTGAACACCGCCACGCGTCTAGAGTGTACACCCGCCACGCGTCCAGAGTGAACACCGCCAAACGCCTAGAGTGAACACCGCCAAACGCCTAGAGTGAACACCGCCACGTGTCTAGAGTGAACACCGCCACGCGTCTAGAGTGAACACAGCCACACGCCTAGAATGAACACCGCCAAGCGTCTAGAGTGAACACCGCCACGCGTCCAGAGTGAACACTGCCACGCGTCTAGCGTGAACACCGCCATGCGTCTAGAGTGAACACCGCCAAGCGTCTAGAGTGAACACTGCCACGCATCTAGAGTGAACACCGCCACACGTCTAGAGTGAACACCGCCACGCGTCTAGAGTGTACACCCGCCACGCTTCCAGAGTGAACACCGCCAAACGCCTAGAGTGAACACCGCCAAACGCCTAGAGTGAACACCGCCACGTGTCTAGAGTGAACACCGCCACGCGTCTAGAGTGAACACAGCCACACGCCTAGAATGAACACCGCCACGCTCCTAGAGTGAACACCGCCACGCGTCTAGAGTGAACACCGCCACGCGTCTAGAGTGAACACCGCCACGCGTCCAGAGTGAACACCGCCACGCGACTAGAGTGAACACCGCCAAGCGTCTAGCGTGAACACTGCCACGCGTCTAGAGTGAACACCGCCACGCGTCTAGAGTGAACACCGCCACGCGTCTAGAGTGAACACCGCCAAGCGTCTAGAGTGAACACCGCCACGCGTCCAGAGTGAACACCGCCACGCGTCTAGCGTGAACACCGCCACGCATCTAGAGTGAACACCGCCAAGCGTCTAGAGTGAATACTGCCATGCGTCTAGAGTGAACACCGCCACGCGTCTAGAGTGAACACCGCCACGCGTCTAGAGTGAACACCGCCACACATCTAGAGTGAACACCGCCAAGCGTCTAGAGTGAACACTGCCACGCGTCTAGAGTGAACACCGCCACGCGTCTAGAGTGAACACCGCCACACATCTAGAGTGAACACCACCATGCTGTTGACAAGCCCCACCTTGTTGTTGTGGGCAGGTCGCTTTTGAAAAGAAGAGCGGTATAGCAGCTCAACGCGGGCGTGGCCTGGTAAAAAATGAAGAAAAAGACCGTGTGGATATTTAAAATAAAACAAAGTTACAAAGTTGCGAGACAGGTGAAGAGAAGTTAAAACTTAAGCAAGATACTATTTGGTTCTTTCGGTACAGTCACGTAGAAATAAAAAATAAAATAAATACTAACATACGACGTTTCGATTGCAACACAAGCAATCATCATCAGGTACAAATGAAAGAGGAAACAAACCTCGTAAACTTATAAATACAATGCATTACAACACAGATAGTCGTCTAACACAACAGTCAACACACTACCTGGTTCATAACGTTCATCCAAAAATTGCTACATTTGAGAGACAAAACACAGACACGGAGACACAGACAGACACATAAGCAGAGAGAGAGAGATGACACAGAGACACACAGAGAGAGCCACAGAGAGAGATAACACAGACACACACAGAGAGAGGCACGCACATAGTGAGATGACACAGAGACACACAGAGAGACACACACATAGACACACATAGAGAGACACACACAGAGACACACAGAGAGAGACACACACATAGGCACACAGAGAAACAATGTCTCTGTGTCGAGGCCTTAAAAAGAGAGGGAGGGGGGCAGAGAGGGGGGGTAGGGAAAGTAGCATGTCAATGCAAGGCCATAGCCATGGAGTCAACATGGGGGGGGGGGGTGTCCCCCCCAATGTATATTATAATTACGGCCTTGTGTCAATGAGAGATTTGGAGGTTTGGTGACTAAATAAGTAAATAATAGAGCGACAACACGAGGACACAGAGAGAGAAAACACATCTTCTTGGTTCTTTCGGTAAAGTCACATTGAAGGGAAGCAATGAAATAATAAAAATAAAACATAATAAAATAATTCTCACGACGTTACGGCCACAACACAAGTAGCCGTCCTCAGGTGAAGACAGGTCTGTCGAGGCGACAGCGTCTAAAAGAAAAACACCACCACGCTTGGAGCGTCTATTTAAGCTGGGTTGGAAGGGGGGGGGGGGAAATGCGCATTAACAAAATAATCTGAATATCAAGAGGAATTTAGCATATTTATGGAAAATGCAGGAATGCGATTAGTGCTATTTGTGAAATGCTAATCCTGCATAATGCGCATGCATTATAATGCCCATGCATTATGCAGGATTAGCAGCATGGGCATTATAATGCATGCCCATGCATTATACAGGATTAGCATTTCACAAATAGCACTAATCGCATTCCTGCATTTCCCATAAATATGCTAAATTCATCTTGATATGCAGATTATTTTGTTAATGCACATTTCCCCCCAACCCTTCCAACCCAGCTTAAATAGACGCTCCAAGCGTGGTGGGTGTTTTTCTTTTAGACGCTGTCGCCTCGACAGACCTGTCTTCACCTGAGGACGGCTACTTGTGTTGTGGCCGAAACGTTGTGAGAATTATTTTATTATGTTTTATTTTTATTATTTTATTGCTTCCCTTCTACGTGACTTTACCTAAAGAACCAAGAAGATGAATCCCTGCAGTCACGAAAGCTTTAAATCTAAAGAGAAAACACACTTAATCAAACAAACCGAGTAAAATTTGGAAATGTAATGCAATGTAACACAGAGAGTCTGTCAACACACAATTAACGCATCGCCTGGCTGATTGCGTTCTTCCAAAGAATGCAAAATTAAGCGAGAGAATTGAAGCAAACGCGATCAGGCGAGAACAGGAGGCAAGGCCCCGCGTTGTAAAGTTCCAACCTGGACATCGCTTCCATGCTCGCTGCTACTCACTAGGCATTCAACAACAATAACCACCACCACAACCGCCACAACAACCGCCACCACAACCACCACCACAACCACCACCACAACCGCCACAACAACCGCGATGAGAATTTCTCACCTCGGATTTCAGTGCACGGGCGGAGCGGCACCTTCCTGTTAACTCGTGACGTCACGCAAAAGCAGAAGATGACATGACGTCACTTGCAGGGTACGATGACACTCCCGTCCCACAATGAGCGGCTCTGTAACTAATATAAATTATGTTAATGAGCCTGGCCTGTATGTGGAGGGATGCGGCGCGGGCGCGGAACACGTCGCAATAAACCCGCGACGGCTTTCACGAATCCATTATGTTAATGAGCCGCCAGTAACCGGACGTTGCTTTGCCCAAATAAGGATTGGTACTGGATATCGGCAGCGGCCGAGTGGAGGTGACGTCACTCTCAGGAGCGCGGCGGTCGGGGGTAGGCGACATGACATCACTAGCGAGGAACACCGCCCCCTGGCTTTTGACGCCGAGGAGGTCACGCTGAGCAGTGACGTCAGAGAGCGGGGTCAGAGTTCAAGTTTGTTGACAAAGGGAGCGGCAGTGTCGTGGTGAGCGCTCCGCTCCGCACCGACCAGCCGAGTTCCATTCCCGCTCGTGGCCAACACCGCCAGTGACGACTTTCTGAGCCGGTCCTGAGCCTCCCCTACGTCAACTCAGCCTCAAACGAGTATCCGGTGCGGTGTGTAAACATCGCCACTAGGGAGACAAAGGCGACCGGGCGTGGTGCCGTCCCACCCTTAATAGGTGCTCGCTAACAGCACTTGCCCCTACAGTCTGTTAAGGTTATATGGGGGATATCTTTGTCTGTGTTAGGTGCTCACTAACAGCACTTGCCCAAACATTCTGTCCAGGCTATACAGGGGATCTTTGTCTTTGTGTGTTGGGAGCAAGTTTGAGTGGCGTGTAGCCGTGCGAGTTGAACGGGCGCCTGCTGCTACTGACAGTCGTTGACTACGGTTGGACAGACGCTGATAGACACAGACAGACAAGACAGGCGGACAGACAGACAAGAGGAACAGAGACAGATAGACAGAGACACACAGGCAGAGAAAGACACACAGAGGCGAACAGAGACCCAGACGGACAGAGAGATGTTGAATCGAACACACTGAACTCGCTCCATTGAAAGAGATTCCTTGATCTTTGCCCATCCCCGGAAGTCGTTCTAGTTTCTATTTCATTGTGTGTGGTGTGTACGTGTAAGCAATGTGGGATATCGATGTACACAGATATGAGCAAGATCAGCAGACAAGACGTCTTTCATTTATCGGTCTCTCCGCAAAACAAAGGAATGTTTTACACAAAATATAACTAGCACAGCCTTCTGGGAGTGCATCATTGATTCAGTGCAAGTCACCTGTGGACCCTTATTGGTGGACAGTGTCTCAACAGCAGCCGGGCTTGCTTCAACCGATGGTTACGAACATCCAGACATTAATCAGCAAGGAGCATTTCTAGTCCTCGTTCGACAAAATCTACGTCAACACGTAATGCAAAATTATAATTCGTGTTGTAGAGAATGTATCTCCTCTACGTGTAACTTTTAAATGGTATGCCTTGTAACTGATGAATGATCCGAGTGTGCTCCCTATTTCAAAGACAATAAGTTGCTCCAGAGGCAGATGCTTCCTGAAAACACAAAAATACCCTTTGACCTGTATCACAAGAACAACGGGTCTCACCTGCGTTATCTGTACAGATTACTTCCAAAACACACACTTTGTCCTAACATCACTTAATCAATGTTTGACCTTTTTCGACAAAATGTTACATGTACGCACACAATCAGACAAGTATTCATTCTAAATTGACAGTTATTTTAACATTTAATTACTGCACTGAAAAATACTGCATCAAGTTACATCATATTAACAGGAAACTTTTTTAAAATACGCACCGTCTGCTTAACAGTGCATGTGTGATGCCACCGCCGCGAAGCCACTCTGCGGGCACCCCATCTACGATCTCGCCACCACCATGCGACGGGGCCCGACGCTGCTGCTCCCTCGCCACCCCCCACATAAACACACCCTCACACATTTCTCCCCACATAGAGCTCCGAGGGGAGGTCATCTGACCCGACAGGTTTTCACCCAGAAGCCCTCTCATAGGAATAATCTTCACGGTTTCCTGCGGCCAGGGAATTGGGCAATCTCCCCCAATGCTAACTCGCACCGCGGCGCCGTGACTTGGGTTGAAATTACATGGTCACGACGGGGCTACCCAGCCACCGCGGTTAACACACACACCCCACACACGGGTCAGCAGGCAGGTAGGGGCGCGGAGCCACGAACGGCGAGAAAGCGGGGTCTCCCCTCTGATCGGTCGGGCACTCGGCAGCCAACCGGTGCACGGACAAGACAACGAAATGCGGCTTGGAACTCCCAGCGAGCCGATTGGCCAGTGAATCGGCTTCGGGTTACCTTTTGATGTAGTAACAATAAAAGAGGCCGTAGAAAGGGAAAAAGGGGGTCTTGCTTCTTAAGTCAGCCATCGGGGTGGTGTCGACTCTTCAGTCCAGCCACTCGAACGTCCGTGTGATGAGTCGAAGTGCTGTGAGGACGGTATTTAGCTTAATAGCCAAAGGGGTTTAAGTCCTAACAGAATAAGGTTCAGACCATCGGGAAATAGTTTAGTCCTGCCTTGCTGACTCCGACGGATTCGGTGAGTGACTCGCAGTCGGGCCGGGAATAAATTGTTAGTAAATGATCACAGCCTCGTGTGAATTCGACGAGTGTGTTGAAAGTGGATTGTGTGTGTGCGCTCGCTTTAACGTTGTGTGGCTGGGCGCACCGCGTCCTGGTGGAAGAAAAGCTGCGCCCGCAAGACTCCGGGAGTGCGCGTCTCGTCCTGTGGCCCCTACCCTCCACGCTGCGTGTGCATAGGCGTGAACGACGGGTTAATGCGCGGATCTGACCCTCTATTCGGTTACCATGCTTGCGCTGCGTTAACTGCTTAGCGTGCGCCCATGGTGAGCAACGGCAGACCCACAAGGGTACACGTGGGATTATTCATATGGCTTTAGTTTAGCGTGTGCCCACGGGGAGCGACGGTAGACTCGCAAGGATAGACGTGGGATTATTCATACGACTTTGGTTTAGCATGTGCCCACGGCGAGCAACGGCAGGCACGCACGGATACACGTGGGATTATTCGTACGGCTTTGGGTTAGTGTGTACCCACGGGGGGTGCTGAAAGTGCGTGGTGGTGTGTGCGCTCGCCGTCACGTGTGTGGTCGGTGCTTCCGTGGCTATGGACACCCGTGCTGCGTGCAGGCTCACACCCACCGCGAACACCTGCCCCCACGGCCCTTTAAACAAGCGCTATTACCCGCCCTCGGCGGCCACGTGTGCGAGCGACGTTACTGCCCTCCGACCTGACCCCCCCCCCCGTTCAGCACGTGTGATTGGTGCGCGGGGTTGTGCAAGCGGAGACGTCGCATTTGGGTGGCCGTGCGTATACGTGCGAGGGCTATGGTGTGCCAAGGGAGTCTCCTACTAATGTGTGAGGGGATGCACGTGGAGAGTGGAGGTGAATGACCCGAGGCCAGGGGCCAGGAGTAATGTCTCACAGAGGGGAAGCGGCAGCGGCGAGGCGTGCAGAATAGGGAGGGGGAGAGGAATTGGGGGGCAGCAGCCCCTACACATGTAAAACATACTATTGCGCCATTCAAAACGAGTAGGCCATTGCATGCTGGCGTCTTGGTCAAAATTTAGCAAATTCTAAACATTACCTACAAACTACACAACTGAGATGCCACATCAACCATCACCCCCTACTGACAGGCTCTTGTCCACATGCAGGCCGGTGCAGGGCCACCACTTTGTGTCACACAAGGGCAGCTGCTACTTGGGGATGCTCTTCGAGTGTTTGAAACGAGATATGTTACAAAACTCCGAGTTGCTAGAGACGATTAAGCACCATGTAAATGCAATTATGATAACATAGTGAATGCTTGGGAGCTTATTGGCTCTCGCTCCTGGTTAGAGGTCGACCCAACCCACAGGTCCACAAAGACTGGCCGCTCTTACCCTGCAGGTTGCACCTAGGTTGAGTGTTCAAGTTCACGTTCTTTTCATTAAAGGCCTGTGACAAAGGTTAATAATCTATTGGAGCGACATCGTCTCAGGCTTACACATCTACCAGGTCTCCATTTGACTTTGTATTTTCTCGGAAGTCCACCCACACCTCCACTTCCACAAACTGCTGGGAGTTGCCTCGCTCTGCCTCACAGTCAGAATTCTCCTCCTGCTTCACGATTCCTCCATCAAAGTGAAGGTCCGATTTTGGAGTTGAATCGTCATCTTCACATTTTACCCTCACTTCTTCGCTCTTCACTATCACTTCTTCACATTTCACCTTCACTTCTTCATATTTCACCTTGATACCTTTAAAAGTGTCCAAGCTGGGATTTTCTTCCGGTTCTTGTTTCATGAGGGATGGGCTCATTGAGGCACTTTGACTTTCACAAGCTGATTTAAGACTCCACTCCTTGTGGATCTTCTGGTGCTTGTGTGTTCTCTGGTGTACATGACGATTTGATGAACGTGCAAACGCCTTCCCACAAACACTGCACTTGAAGGGTTTCTCTCCTGTGTGAGTTCTCTGGTGTGTTACAAGAGTAGATGAACGTGCAAACGAATTCCCACACACACTGCACTTGAAGGGTTTATCTACCGTGTGTGTTCTCTGGTGTTTTTTAAGAGTAAATAAATGTGCAAACGCCTTCCCACACACACTGCACTTGAAGGGTTTCTCTCCTGTGTGTGTTCTCTGGTGTTTTTTAAGAGCAGATGGATTTGAAAATGTCTTCCCCCACACAGTGCACTTGAAGGGTTTCTCTCCCGTATGTATTCTCTGATGTACATGAAGATTTGATGAAACTGAAAAAGCCTTCCCGCACGCAGCGCACTTGAAGGGTTTCTCGCCCGTGTGTGTTCTCTGGTGTGTTACAAGATGATACGATTGTGAAAACGCCTTCCCACACACACTGCACTTGAAGGGTTTCTCTCCTGTGTGTGTTCTCTGGTGTGTTATAAGAGTAGATGACTGTGAAAATGCCTTCCCACACAGACTGCACTTGAAGGGTTTCTCTCCCGTGTGTGTTCTCTGGTGTATTACAAGAGTAGATGAATCTGAAAACGCCTTCCCGCACGGAGTGCACCTGAAGGGTTTCTCTCCTGTGTGTTCTCTTTGGTGTATTACAAGAGTATATGAATCTGAAAACGCCTTCCCACACACACTGCACTTGAAGGGTTTCTCTCCTGTGTGTGTTCTCTGGTGCCGTGTCAAATTTCCAGTACGATCCGTGGTGTATGCACACTGGTCGCATCGTTGTCTTTTTTCACCGAGCTGCGCCGTGTGCCTTTGCTCCATCAGACCAATTCTGCAGAGGAAACGACAGCTGCAGACAGAAAAAAAAAATCCACACCATCTACACGTCAGTATCGATGTACAGAGGAATGCATATATACACAGTCACACATGACTTACGCGTCTATACTTATTCATATATTCATAATAAAAAAGTATCCCACATTCATCACACGGGCTGTTATGGCACACAATGAGATGGCAATTGGTCACAAACATGCCTGAGTGAACACCGCCACGCGTCCAGAGTGAACACCGCCACGCGTCCAGAGTGAACACCGCCACGCGTCCAGAGTGAACACCGCCACGCGTCCAGAGTGAACACCGCCACGCGTCCAGAGTGAACACCGCCACGCGTCCAGAGCGAACACCGCCACGCGTCCAGAGTGAACACCGCCACGCGTCCAGAGTGAACACCGCCACGCGTCCAGAGTGAACACCGCCACGCGTCTAGAGTGAACACCGCCACGCGTCTAGAGTGAACACTGCCAAGCATCTAGGGTGAACACCGCCACGCGTTCAGAGTGAACACCGCCACGCGTCCAGAGTGAACACCGCCACGCTGTTGACAAGCCCCCACCTTGTTGTTGTTGTTGTGGGCAGGTCGCTTCTGAAAACAAGAGCGGTACAGCAGCTCAAGCGGACCGAGGTCTGGTAAAAAATGGAAAAAAACTGCGTGAATATTTAAAATAAAAGTTACAAAGTAGCGAGCCAGGTGAAAAGAAATTAAAACTTAAGCAAGATACTCTTTGGTTCTTTCGGTAAAGTCACGTAGAAAGGAAAAAATGAATTAAATAATTGCATACGACGTTTCGATTGCAACACAAGCAATCATCATCAGAAAGAGGAAACAAACCTAGTAAACTGAGAAATACAATGCATTATAATACGGAGAGTCGTCTAACATAACAGTCAACACCTTACCTGGTTGATTACGTTCTTCCAAAGATTACTAAATTAATCGAGAGAATTTAAGCAAACGCGATCAGGCTAGGGCAGGAGGCAAGGCACCGCGTTGTAAAGTTTCAACGTGGACATCGCTTCCATGCTCGCTGCCACTCAATTGACATCCCTACGAGAGAGAGCGAGGCTCTACCTCGGTAAACAACAACTACCACAACCACCGCCACAACAACCGCGACGAGAATTTCTCACCTCGGATTACAGTGCACGGAGCGGCAACTTCCTGTTAACTCGTGACGTCACGCGGCAGCAGGAGGTGACATGACGTCACTTGCGGGGTACGATAACACTCCCCTCCCACAATGAGGGGCTCTGTAACGTAAATAAATTATGTTAATGAGCCTGGCCCGTACGTGGAGGGATGGGGTGTTGGTGCCGAAGCCGTCGCAAAGAGCTCGCGACAGCTTTCACGAAAACATTATGTTAATGAGCCGCCAGTCACTGGGCGTGGCTTTGCCCAAATAAGGATTGTACTTGAACATTCTAGATTTGAAGATTTCGTGACAGCAAGGATTCATACTCTTAGTTCTTTCGGTAAAGTCACGTAGGTAAAAAATGAAATTAAAATTAATAAAAATAAAATAATGAAATCACGACGTTTCGGAGGCAACACAAGTCTCCGTCATCAGGTGGGACCGTCACAGCCAGATTTGCTGCATCAAGTGAGGCAGGGATTCCAAGATGCAAGCTCTTAAATACAAGTTAAGGGGGAGGAGAGGGGGGGGGGAGCTTATCAGAATGTGGTAGCCAATGAATGGAACGTATCGGGAGGGGGGGGCGGGCTTAAAGAAAGCACGAGTTTCTCGTAGACGTCGACGTGAACGTGTTTGTGCGCAAGTCCCTGTTGGTGCACATGATAACGTATTGGAAGGGGGGGGGGCTAAAAGAGAGCACGGGGTGCACGTGCAAAAAAGAGGACCTCACCGCCGAGAAGGTCCACCGATATCTGGCTGGCACCTCGTGGTGGCAGCCCGATGTAAGCTGCGGGCACCTCCCATTTAATGCCCTTGTTGAGCGCGCACGTGCATGCGAGAGACTCGCTAATGAGCATGTGCAGTTCCGAGGGCTGGGACAGGAGCGCGCCATCGCGAGCCTTCTTCCAGAGGAGGAAGAGGAGGAGCTCGCAAGGATGGTAAGGGGGGGTGGGGGAAAGGGAGCCTCCTGGACAGCCCCGGGGTGGGTAACCAGGATACGGACTGGCAAAGGGGATATAGCAAGCCGGGTGACCCAAGTAGGCAAGGAGGTGACGTGGCGAGGTGAACCGAAATATGGACAAGTTACGATCCATAGTGGAGACAGTCCAGGCCGAGGTAGGGGGGATAAATGGGTGGGTGTCCCAATTAGAGTTAGAGTTTAGGCATATGCGTATCGGGAGGGGAAGTGGGAGTGGGCAGGGGGCCTCCTACGGAGCCGCCACCCTCCCCCGGGCATGCTATATATGTGACCAAGGGGGCATCGTGTGCGCCAAGGTCAAACACCAAGGCCTCCCTAGAGAGGGGACCACCGAGGGGTGCAATCGATGTGGTCCCAACACAAATAAACTGTAAGGATAATGGCGAGCGAGTGACCCCTATGCAGATTCCGGCAACAACACCCAAGAACGAGGTGACTTCGGGCGACTGGCTGCAGGAGCTGGTGGCAAGAATCACGGGGGCCACGTCGCTAGTGGAAGGGCAGGTGAACGGGTGGCGTATCCAGATTCTGTTGGACACGGGGGGCGGTAGCCTCTATGTCTCGAGCGTGTTATGCCACGAGTGTATTGCAGATATCGACCTCCTGGAAAAGTTGGGGATCAACGTACAGTCCCGCCAGCGATGTGCCACCGTGGAAGGCAGCGGGGAGCGGATTCCGTTCCTGGGACAAGAGCAGGGTCGCCCCCACTTTGAGCCCGTGGCCGCTATCCTGGTGTCGGCCGTCACCGTCAGCACCCTCGCGGAGATGCTGGTGCCGGTGGCAACACCCTCACAGACCCCACACACCGACCTTCGGGTGAGGAAATGCTGACTCCTCACCCGGAGTTGGCGGCACGGTACGGGGTGGTGGGGTCGGCCATGCTGGTAAACGCGGATGGGGGCCCGACTGTTTATGCGGGTATTTAACCTCCACAGTACCCCAGCAGTGCTGCGACGGCACACTGCGTTAGCCACAGTACACCCCCTGCACGCACGCCACTCTAACAGCTCGGTGTTTGCCCTCTGAGCTGAGGACCCCTGCCGCGCCGAGGACAACCAGGACCTGGCCTGGCAAGTCGTCCCGACTCCCAGAGCCGAAGTCGTCCCCCTGCTTGATGTGCTACATGTACCCTGGGCAGATTAACCCAAGGGGGAGGCCGATCAGCTGCACGAGTTGCTGCGGGAGTACACCAACGTGTTCAGTGAGCACGATTCGGATGTGGGCCGGACAGACCTCGTTAAGCACCAAATTGACACAGGTGCCGCCCGAACCATTAAACTCCCAGAATACCGGGTGGGCGCACCTGAACGGGCCCAGATTAAAGGGGCAGTCGCGGATACGCACCACAATAACATAATCCAGCCCTCAGCGAGCCCCTGGTCTGCCCCAGTCGTGCTGGTGACGAAGAAGGATGGGTCGATCCGGTTTTGTGTGGATTATTGAAAGCTGAACGCGGTTACCCTCGGCAATGCCTTCCCCATCTCCCGCATTGATGACACCTTTTACAGCCTCGAGGGGGCACGGTATTTTTTCACCCTCGATCTAGCGTCTGGGTACTGGCAGGTGGAGATGGCGGAGGAGGATCGGCCAAAGACCGCATTTACCACCCCGATGGGACTGTTCGAGTTCCGAGTACTCCCGTTCGGACTCACTAACACGCCTGCGACATTCCAGTGGTTGATGGAGTTAGTAATGTGGGGCTTGCAATGGGAATAGTGCCTAATTTACCTGGATGACGTGATAGTGTTCAGTAAGTCCCTGTCTGAGCACTGGTCCAGGGTACGGGAGGTGTTCCAACGACTGCGCATAAGTGTCATATTGCGCAGAGCGAGGTTGGGTACATCGGACACCGTGTCAGCGAGGCAGGGGTGCGCAACGGTCCAGAAAAGGTACGCGCCATAGTGGAATGGCCTAGGCTGAGGTACCTGACGGAGATCAGGTCATTTTTGGGGCTAGCAACTTATTATCGTCGATTTGTGAAGGGATTAAGCAAAATTGCATGCCCCCTCACCCAACTCACTTCCCCTAAGAACACCTATCAGTGGACTGAGGCCTGCCAGACAGCCTTCACCACCCTCAAGGACCACCTCAACCATACCCCCACCCTGGCTTTCCCTGACTTTTCCACCAATTTTATTTTGGACACCGATGCCTGCAGCAGTGGGCTGGGCGTGGTGTTGTCACAGGTGCAGGATGGGATGGAGCAGGTCATCGCATACGCCAGCCGGACCCTGGGCGGGGCCGAACTGAATTATTGCGTGACCCGTCAGGAACTTTATGCCGTGATTTTCGCATGTAAGCAGTTCCGGCCGTATCTGTACGGCAGGAAATGTCGCGTGCGCACTGACCATTATGCTCTGCAGTTCCTCCTAACATTCAAGGAACCACGGGGGCAGATAGCCTGGTGGCTGACGCAGCTGCAGGAATATAACCTGCATATCGAGTACAGGGCTGGGCGATCGCACGCCAACGCGGACGCCTTGTCAAGGCGACCCGCGGTGTGCGCTGAGATGAGGGCAGAGGAGGCCTGCCCGTGCTTCAAGGGGGGACGCTGCCAACAGGCAACGGCCCCGCTGGAGCGCCCTGAGACTAACCCCCCTCCGCTGAGAGAAAGTGCCGTGTGTGCCACGGAGGTCCCTGCAGAAAGCAAGGGACCCAGTGGACCGCCCGGCGGGCATGGGGCCTACACCCCAGGGCCCGACGGGCTGCTCAGCCCCATCCGGTCGGATCCAAGAGGACGTCGGCTGTGCGTTCCCAGGCCAGGATGAAGAGCAGCTGAAACAGGCCCAGTGGCGGGACTCGGACCTGGAGGCGGTGGAGGCGGCCCTG